AACATAACCAACATCAATACTATACAAACAAATTATTTTTCACACAAAAACTGGACCTATTCCCACAACAAATTAAGTTTGGCAATCAGTCAAAAAAAACAAAAAACGAATGGGCATCCCCAAAATGAAATGCATCCACCATCATTTGGATGTGTGCAAGAGTTTTGTCCAGTAAGCTTGGCTCTAAGCAGACCCGCCCATTTGCTTTGTACCCAAATGACCTTGCTTTGAAATACCAAACTGGCTCATTGCCAAACAGACTTTGACTGTAATGAATACACACTAAGGAAGACGACAGCATCAACAGCAGTTCTTGCAAGGAGTCATGACTGTCAATCAAACTGTTTCAACTGATCCCTTACCTTGGCTTTTGGCTTCTTGACAGTGCTGTGAGTTGACTTGGATGGTCTTATGGAAAATGGGGTTCTGTGTAATATCATAGAAATCAATCAAAATAGAACTCAACTCTCCTAAAAAACGAACTAAACTCTAATGTAAAAGAATTAAACTCTAATACAAAAGAACTAAACTCCAATAGAAAAGAACTAAACTCTAATTAAAGCGACAATCAATCTCTTTTGCCTCACTTAGCAACTTAAACTTTGGCTTTACTTGACGGTGGGAATTTATCAGAATTGGAACCATGTTGGAATATTCTCCTCTAGTTTTAGATCCAAAAGATTCAGTAAGGTGTACTGCCATTGGGGTTACATTTTAAGTATCATATATTTCACACAGAGTTGTGCTGCAGAAGTCACCTACATATGGCCATCTAGTGTAAGGCATCTGAAATGCAGAAATACAAGTAATAGAGGGAATAAGAAACGAGTCAAAGATTATGAATAAGCAAACAATAGTTCTGATTTATCTCAAAAAATCAAAGAAGGTAATACATCATCTGTCCTGAATTTCCAGACTTGGGGAATAGATTGGGCTTTTGTTTTAACCTTGGTTTTGGCGAGGCATAGCTTGGAGCTTTGAAGACTTCAGCATCATACTCCTCAAAGATGTAATCTTCGTCCTGATGTGATGTCTTGAAGTGGCCCATACTCTTCCCTTCAGGCAGAGGGGGTAGATGAGGCATTGTACAGGGGATATAGGCAGCAGACTCCTGATTGAGAAGGAACACTTCAGACAGTCAAGTGGAAATCACCTGTTCTGATGAGACTCAACAACTGTCTACATAGGAATATAACCAGTTGCAACTCAGATGACCACCTGTTCAAAGTGGGAATGTCACCTGCTTTCATTGTGGAGACCACAATGATCCCATTGGGAATACAAAGTTTTCCAATTGCCAATATCACTTATTCTCATTAGGAAGTAACTAAAAATACTGAGTTGGTGAAAGCTCAATCCAAGGACCAGCACTGTTCTGAGTTTATTGATGTTTTATAGGTATAATCTAAATAAATAGTACAGTTTCTTAACTACATAAAAACTCCAGCAAGCTATGAGCATCAAGGTTTGTATACAACATGTATGACATGACCCAAGACATCCAAGCCAATGTTGCAATAATTTACATCTAAATGACAGCAGTCCTGATAGACAGGTCTTTGAGAGTAAAGACTTGGGCTAAATACTGCCCTCCCTGTTATCCATTTAAAGTTTGGACATAATAATCTGCACTGGCTACAGTTGCCCATTAGCCACCTGTTTTTACACCAACCTTCCTCTCTGCTAATTTAATCCGGGGTGTGAAGCTAGAGTAGATGTGACATTTTTCCCGCTGACTTTTAGCCGTGTAGAAGCTATAACTCAACCAATGCGGAATGTTGTAATCATGCGTGGATGGATGATCGCTGGTACTATGAAACTGATAACATGTAAATTGAAAGAAAAACATCACATTCACAGATTAAACCCTTATCCTGGTATCAGCAATCGGAAGTTTTAAATAAAAAAAACTGCTTTTGTCTGAAACAAAATAAGCTTATGCTGTTTTATGGATTGTGAAATGAGCTTGTGGGATCCTCATGTTAGGCATGAAGAGTGCATCTCTGTATTAAAATGATGCAATTAGATTGTGGTAGATTCTAAAAAACAACAGGTACATTGTACTTGGCAAAAATGCCTACAGATGGAATTCGGGTTAAAGAAAATAGCTTTCACCAAAGATCTGAATAAAACATTCAAAACAAAATGGATGACAGACTAACAAAGAAAAGTACTGAATCTCACCCGAAGAAGGGGTACAGCATGCAAAGGCTGCTCGGCCATACAAATCAAGTCACTACCAATACCTGTCAGGGAAAGGGAGATACAGTGGTGGACAAATGGGTTGAGGGAAGGGGAGAGAAATATCAACAACTAGCACAGGGAATTATGCAAGAACTAAACTACTGTATCTAAATCAATACACAGGTTTCAGGGAATAGGGATGCAGTTTACTTGTACAAGTTACAAGCAAAATCAAATAATTGAACATACTGAGGAGAATGCGTAAGGGTACCCCTCCAATGCAGAATCCCCGCCCCCTCTCCCTCACATCACACCTGCTCATTCCATTTGTCCACAACACTACACAATACTAATTATCCAATGACCAGTATTACTGTCCTATGCCAGGTGACATCACAAATATTCCTAAAGATTCTGCACCCCAAATATCACAAGACACGGCCAGTTATCACCGTGGATGTACATTTGGAAAAACATCAGATTGGTGGTCCAACTGCAGAAACAGTACATGGTTTGTGAAACACTTGTAAGCCTCTCTTCATGGATGAGGTCTAGATTTTGTTTTTGGTTTCTTGTAAGGTATGCCTGACACAAGCTTTGCTTTCAATGTTTTGCACCATCAAGTGGCCTATTATCTCATACACAGTTAGCACTCACATACACACATTTTGCCATGAAGAGGAAATACATGTAATTGAAACTGAACTTGACAATTGAAATTTTCTGTACAATAACACGATACATGACTCAGTTAACAGGAGTAGAGGAATGGCCTTTCCATACATGGTGAAGAGAGGGCGCTTTGCTGAATAGCATACCGATGTCCATTATAGCCATCACCTACATGTATGTTGGTGCATACATGCCACAGATTTATTACCATGTAACACAATCCACATTTCGTTATTAAACGTACAGGGTGTCCTATTTCATGAGCACACAGTAGAAATGATATTCAGTGTCGGCAAAGCCTCTCTCTGTCACCAATGAGGGCGCACTTGTGCACAGACATCATTAAAATATGAACAGCCATGCCTTGAAAGTTCAACACAACAGTAATAAAGCTAATAAAACCTGCCAGTGATTGTACAGTTACAATCTTTCGAACTGCTTTGGCCCTTTACCATTATCAATCATTCGTTGTTTGGTAATCTTGTAGAGTTCCCGGTCCACGTCAAAGACACCAGCTCCAGGAGTGACAATCACTACCACCTGACCGGTACGGTCAAAGTTGCGGTTGATGTAATGCTTGTCAAAAACTGAGCAAGAAATAAAAGACATGAAAGCGTAAACACTTTCAAATTCTTTGCCTTGGTAGCATCACTAGATCAAAGCCTTGAAGGTTTGGAAAGAATGACAAGGCCACATAAACAACTTGAAAATTCAGGCTTAGGTTTGAAAAGAGAGTCCAAAGACAAAGCCTGAAACAGCCTAAGGCTAACAAAATTGACAGACTGGATCCTGAAGTTAAACGCAATGAATACAATAAACAGTCCTTCAATACCTTCAATGGAACCAACAGGGTCTTAGAAACTTGAAATCCTAGAGAAGTAGAGCCAGAGTGCTTATAACATCGAAAGGCTTGTGATTAAGAATCTCATCATCCTTAAAGAAAGCCATGGTTTCAATGACAGTCTTCTGGTACCCACTGGCCACAGAAATCCTTTAGGCCTCAGAGTCCAAAAAAATCCTAGAGTACGAGAGTAGTACAGCTAGGGCCCTTTATATCCAAAGGCTTACACTCAAGTTAAAACTATGTTTTTAAAACAGTCCCTGAGAGCCTTTTAACCTAAACGATGAATAATGCCCATAAGAATGAGCTAATGAATCTTGATAGCCATTTACTTTGCATTTGGCTCTAGGCAACAACTACAACAACAACTGTTTATTGCATTACTGAAACACAACTGAGGCTACTTTAAAAGCTCCACTCTATCAACTGGCTGAATTTTCAAAAGCTTCATACATTCCAATTAATGGTGACCAAACTTATTTCTAACAAATATTCTTAAAATTCAAATTTCATTAGTATAACTAAAAATTAAGACAAATATGGATTCAAACATGTTTTTTTCTTTCTGTTTTCTTTTAAAGCTCTTTGGGTAAGTTCCTCTCAGATCAACCTATGTTTTCTTCAATATTTTCCTCTAAACTAACACTAACCATTTAGTGTTAGATTCAATGCTTCCAGAAAGTTTCCTTCAGCAGCATTGGAAATGTAACCATCTGGTAGCTGGCATCCTGCACCCTGGGAACCTGCCAAAACAAACAAACAATGCAAGCATGAGTTCCTCATTCATACTTCAAAACATCCGTTTATTCCATAAGGACAAATTTGTATACAATCCTTCCGGTCTTATGAATTGTTGCAAATCAACCAACCTTGTTTGAGAATTATACTTATTTAATTTTAAGGAGATATGTGGTGTGATAAATAAAAATGAGTCATTTGTTGACCTGGACCAATTTCTTGAATTTTGTTCCTTTGAAACTATATACAATGTTGACTTCATTTCTATGAAACTCAAAACCTTGGAAAAAAAACCTTGGACCAACAGTAGAGGAAGTTCAAATAAAACTTTGACAAACAATTCATTTTGCTGATCGCATAACTTGTATTCTTCTAATTACAGTGTGCTCTGAAATAAAAGGTAGTTTACCAGAGTGTTACAGAGTAGAGCTACAAGCATAAATCCTACAGAGTAACACTTTGAGTTTGTTTTGTCAAGTAGATCTACAAGCATAGATCCTACAGTGTAACACTTTGAATTTGTTTTGTAATGGGAGAATATTAAATGCAGTCAAAAACAAAGACAATGTATCACAGATGCACTTCCATGTACGTCTGTTTTCGGACTCAACTTTACCTTGTATGAAGCGGTTTTGGAGTTGTTGCCCATACTGGATGCAGTGAGATTTTAGTGTCACAAGCAATGGTGTCCAATCATCGCGTCGTTCATTTTGAACGATTACTCTGAAAATTCCACAGAGCAAAAAATTGTACAAAAAACTACCATGTCCTACAAGAAAAAATGTCAAACAACCATCGGCATCTACCTCTATCTGGAACTTTCCATGACATTGCCGAAAAACATTCTCCCCAGCCTTCAAAGTCTGTCTAAATACATGTAGGACAATAGTTGTCAGGATAAATCTACAACAAACTTTAGCACCAAACTTATTCATACCCTTTATAAATGTTAGGTTTTGGGAGTTTTTCTACAGAATGACTGGTGGACATATAATATGTGGGACATCGCTGAACCCTTTCAGCTGTCAGGTATAAATGACTAATGGCTTTGGTTTTGGGCCGAGTTGGAGATTTTCTTCAGACTGCTTGACATTTTCCTGCGGAATCTGTGTACTGCTCACTCTTCATAATTCCTTCTAGTTTTATGAGATAGCCAGGCCCACTTGCTGAGAAACAACCCCACAACATGATGCTCCCACCTCCAAACTTCACGGTCGGTACAGTGTTCTTTGAGTTGAATACTTCATCTATCTTGCGCAAAATGAGGGAAACATCCCTATGGCCAAACAGCCCTATTTTCATCTTGTCTGACCATAGAACTGACAACCAGAAACTTTGATCCTTTTCTCGGCACCCTTATCTCGGGCAATTATCAAGCTTTTCGATGCCTGTGCGTGAGGAGAGGGGTCTTTCCTGGATGATGCCCATGTAGCCCTTCCTTATGCAGTGTGCTGCGCATTATCTGCGCTAATTGGTACCCATCTCACCCAAGTTGTCCTGAAGTGCCTTGATTGTTGTTCTGGGAATGGAAAGGGCCTCACTGCACACTTTCCTAACCAGACGAGGAGACACCTTCGGCTTCGGTCCAGGCCGATGTTTCTCACAATAGTAAACTTCTTATACAGTGGTAATTGGTACTCTGACATGTCTGAAGAGCTTGGAAATGGCTTTATACATGTAGCTTTATAGTTTTCCCCATATTCACAACAACCGAGGAAGACTCCACGATTGCAATTTAATTTATACTCTAGAAGCAGAGTATTTACAATTACATTCCACAAATCAATTGCAAATGATGAAATTCTTAACATATTCCTCAAGGACATATGTATTGTTGTATATACATGCACATGTATTCAAAACAACATGCAGAATCTTAGGAATGTCTCGAGCAGGTGCATTTTGGAGCAATGTGGCTGAATACCTTGACATGCAGAATGGGATGAATAATTCTGAGCATGTCGGGATTTAAACAATGTAGCATTCTCTTTGTTATGCAAATGAGGTGAAATGAAACCCTTTAGTCATTTTTACCTCACAGCTAAAAGTATTCAACTATGCCCCAAATATTATGTGCCCACCTTCCTTTAGAAAAACACAAAAAAGTAAAATTTATAAGGGGCATGAATAAATTTGTTGGTAACTGTATACCTCTTACCTTGACTCTGAAAGGTACATGTAAGCATTTCAAGCAACTCAGGTAAAAGTGGATCTCAACACTTTTATTCACATATTGGACTTTATGAAAATGCTATACATGAATGAATCATATTGATATCAAGTCACACATTAAAATCCCTATAAAAAGTTACTGCCAATTCAAGATGAAATGAAAATGAGACAAACTGTTCATCCACTTGTAGGTTTTGCCTTAAATTTGCCCCAAATGAAATTTTAACCAAAATATTTGAGTATGTTTCTTTTATTCCCCAAGGACCTCAACACAATCTTCGGTTGAGTTGGAAACTTCCACATACCCTTAACTCCTAAGACAACAAAACTTGAGCAATGTTGAGTTTCTTTCAAAGTTTAAAGAAGTTTCTGGATAATTCTCTCCAGAAAGCTTGCACAGCCACAATTGAAACGTAGCAAAAATGGTGAGGGCCTGTCAGGACTTGCAGAAGAACTTCATGGGAGACACTGAGGAGCTACCGGTATAAAGGTTAGCTATGTGTACTTTCCCTCACAGCAATAATATCCATCTTAAGTATTACAGCTCCTGTAATATGTCATGTAATTCCTTCCCTGAGGGAAGTTAGAATCTGGAATGGGGTGATAGAAGAAAAAAGATAGGCACAAGGTAGAAGATTACTTCTGTCAGCTTACAATAGGTGGGTAAGATTAAAAAACAAACAGGAAACATCACTACGAACATTAATGTTGCATCCATAATAACATGTTTTGACTCAGAATATCTTGCAAAGCAGAAAAGAAGGAAAAGTGAAACATTTTGGAATTTTTTGTTTGTTTACTTTTCATCATGTTCCTGGTTTGAATTCAAACCTAAACTCTGAAGACATTCAAAGCATGAAGTTTTCTCACTGCTAGAAGCCCCAACAATGAGAAGTAAATCAACTGCACATTCTTGGTACACATGTACAGTACTTCAAGCCAATGACCAAAATATCCTGGAGCCTTTCCAATCTTTTCCCTATGATTCATTTTTCTCTAGGCACTATGGAAAATAAAGACAGCAGGAAAGATTTGTCCTTGATAAAAAGTTCACAAAGAGCAGGAAGATTTTCTGCAGGGTAGGGTTTTCTTTTGCAGGATACCCAAAGGAACAGAAGTCACATTGGCGGGAGGCTGAAAAATGTTGGAACTCTTCTTTCCCTTAATTCACGTCAGGTATCCATGTTATCACTTTACCTGTAGAAGTCCTCGTAGATTCTTCCTTTGTAGTCAACGTGTAAACATTCTCTCATGCCTTCTGGAAACTGGTCTGAAAAAATAGAAAAAGAAATCTTTCAACCCCACCTCTCAAGAGGCATCTTGGGGCAAAAGAAACATAAGATTAAACCTTTGCTCCATTCTTTGATCATAATGCAGATTTCTTTCAAGCCAGAAACACATACCGGTACATGTCCATGTACCTGAAAACGCAAATCTTACATTTTGAAGTAAAAGTCCTTACTACACCTGTAAAAAAAGGTTATGTTCTTAAACCTTACCCATGATGAAATGCATACTAATTCAGACTACATGTAGATTTGAAAGAGGTTGTTGTCTATGTTTCTTAAGCATAGACTCTGAAACGATATTGGAATACAAACTGAATAAAGTTTACCGAACCTGTATAAAAATAATTAATACAGGGTGAACACAATTACATATTCACTTGTACAGGACCTCACTCTGTAGCTGTGAGGACAACACACTTGTTGGAACACAGACGTTGTGGGGACCCAAAATGTTATGAGCACACAACAACATGTAGATGTTGACTTTCCTAACAGGCATTGCCTCCTCAATGTATAGCAGAATAGGTACACACATGATCACGCGCTATTCTAACTCAACACACTGCACTAAAAGCAAAATGCACAACTGCAAAATTTACTGCAAATTCAAAGGTGGCGCATTTGAGCACATTGGCCCCTATAGGTCTCTCTCAAATGACATCGCCTCTTACAGGTTACCACTCGCATCAGCATTTTTTACATACGTAGAATTCACGGCGGAAGAAAATCAAAAGACGGGAATAAGGACACTAAAATATGGGCCAAGGAACTAATTTGAAACAACATCTATTTATAAATTTAAACCAGCAAGGCAGTAACTTAACCCTAAACCCCCCAAATCCTCTAAAATCCTTTTCTGTCAAGTGGAGGACTTTGGAGGATTCAGGGTGTATGGCATACGCGAAGGTCCCGGATCAGACCTCATGTTGTTTGTGCTTAGTCAAGCACTTATTCAGCCCGATTTTTCCTTTGAATCAACTGCACTGCTCAAGAATGCCATTTGCACTGTCTCAACATAATGACAGGAATTGCAGGAGGATTTTAGAGGATTCGGGCAGTTAGGCACACCTCCAAATGACGTTTTAGAGGATTTGGGCTGAATGGAATTTTTTCAGGTTGAAAATCAGAGGATTTTGGAGGATTCAGGATGTAAAAGGCCCTAGGGGGTTAGGGTTAAAGCAAACTAAATCTAGTGGGTTTTTTTTGCAACTTAAACTTCTCATGCAAAAACAGCCTGAATTTGGACAAGCAAAAGCATAAAAGCAAACATATTTACATTAGCACAGCCAAGCGCAATTATACAAAGAAAATTAGCAACCCGGCCAAAACATGTTAATGCACAAGAAGGCAAATTACATTCAGCCGAGCACAATCACCTTACGGAGCCAACACAAGAAAGAGAAAAATAAGGCCCCGCCCAGTCAGCACCATGTCTAAAGGAGCACAGTCATCGGGCCAAGCACCTCCACAACCAGCACCAGAACAGCCCAGCTCAGACCTACCTGTTGTTTCAAATTAGTTCCTTGGCCCATATTTTAGTGTCCTTGTTCCCGTCTTTTTGATTTTCTTCTGTCGTGAATTCTCTGTACGTAACATATGTCACACTGTTTGTTGCCATGGATTGACCAATCAGAATTGAGAATTCAAGTTTGCCTGAAGATAAATTACCATGTACAGCACAACACTCAATGAAGTTTGTTGAGATTTGAAGCAAATGTAGTATACATACTGAATCTTAACGCTGCTGTAATGTAACGGACACGTGTTCCCCATTTTTGATGCCACTGAAGGCTGGACCGAATGTGAATACAAGTTACTCAAAACAGGCAACTCAAAACAAAAGTAAAATCTTTCTAGGGAATGAATACTTCTTATGAATGAAACTTACCAAATGTATCAGCATAATAATAGATCCGTGAGAAGAGAAAAATGGTGACCTCATTGAAGGTATTTCTTTCTTTCCAGTAGTTGAAGAGCTCAGCAACGAAGCCATTGACAGACTTCTCCCAAAGCAGATCACCTGTATATAGAACACACCAAATCATTAGGTCCAAGAAAAGACTGCTTCCAATTACATGGCATCTGAAAACAAGTTAGGGGGGTAGGAATTTTATAGTTTTAACCAGTTTTAACCAGTGTTAACTGGTTAAAAAGAACAGTATGTATAAGACAGAACAGGTGACAGTTGTTTCAAATAAAATTGACAGCCCTTTAAAGGGCACGAGTTAATGTTTTCTTTGTTTTTCCCGCTTTCACATTTCCCTAAAATTGTCCCCACCCCCCCAAAAAAAACCAATTTAAGGTTGCACAGTCAGAATACATGAGGGGTACCCGAATGTGCAGGGGAAAAAAAGGAAGGAAAACTCTTTTTGCCATATTGGTTTGCATCTAAGAATAACCCAGGAACCAAGTACCGTACTGAATTACATGAAAAAAAGGGTACTCAGAGATTATATGTAAATAAACATAACACCAACGTTTAATAACAAAAGGAAAACTTTTAATAACAAAAAGAAAACATACTTGTGAATTGCTCATTAAATCTGCTTACTCCATCTTACAAAGAAATGATAATCCTTTGGATATAAACATGAAAGCTGTTTTAGCATTTTATGTTTCCTGGCTTATATTTTAAATGTTCGCAATGAAAACATACTAAACCCATTCTTTTTCTTTGCCTTAAGAGTTAAAATGATTTCTTCAGGTGATTACAGGTATGATTTAGAATCCGTTCCTGATAATATCAGTCAGGTAGTCAGGCATCTGGTTCTGAACAGGTAACAATAAAACTGATAACATGAATATACATGTACATGTATGGCACTCCTGAGCCCAGGAATGACAGGAGTACATGTACTGTACGATTAGTAAGAGCATACATGTAACTCTTAGTTGTACTGAGTACTCAGTTCTCTCAGTCGTACTGAGTACTCAGTTCTCTCTGTCGTACTGAGTACTCAGTTCTCTCAGTCGTACTGAGCACTCAGTTCTCTCAGTCGTACTGAGT